TGCCGTGAGGGCGATGATCTGGGATTTTACCGAGCCCGTGTGCCGCGGATGTGTCAACTACGAAAGGCGCGGCCGGAGTCGAGTTCGTATATAGGACACCGCCCGGCAGCTGAAGAGGGCTCACGGCTCCAAGGACGGCCGCTCTGCCGGCCCGGGGAATGCCCGCAAGCAGCACCCCGGGAAGGAGCCAACACTCGGCGGGAGAGTCCGTCCGCCCGCAGCGCTGGACCGATACCCGCTGGTCCGACCGCCCGCCGCGCTCGGACCGGAGTACCTAGCGGGGCGGCAGGCGAACGGCCCTCCCGATGCCCAACGGATTCCCACAAAACCGGACGAGCCTCCGGAGCTAACCGTCAGAGCCGAACCCCGCAGGAACTAGCGCGGTTCCGCCCAGGCCTGGTGCAGCTGGTGAACGGCAGCATCCCCACCGTGCACTCTGCTCCAACGGCCGCCCGCGCAGATGGACTGCCGGGGTGCTCCAGCGTCGAGCCCCGGGGCAGCACGGGAAGCGAGTTCGGACCGAGCTAAAGACAAACACAGGCCGGACGAAGCCTGTCGGAGCTTACCGGACAGCCACAAGGACTGGTCGTTTAAAAGGGCGGGATCTGATGCGCACCTTCGACGGCAGGTACAAGGAAGGAGCACGCGGCCCTGCAGCAGAGGGTGAGGGATACAGAATGCTGCTTCCTCTAAAGACAGGTAGGAAGTGTGTGTGTGTGTGTGTGTGTGTGTGTGTATTACAAGAGAGTGTGTGTGTGTGTGTGTGTGTGTGTGTGTGTGTGTGTGAGAGTTGTGTGTTACGAGAGGTGTGTTACAGAGAGTGTGTGTGTGTGTGGTGTGTGTGTTGTGTGTGTGAGAGTGTGGTTACTGTGTGTGTGTGTGTGTGGTGTGTGTTGAGAGTGTGTGTGTGTTTACAGAGGAAGGTTGTGTGTGTGTGTGTGTGCGAGAGTGGTGTTTGTGTGTGTGTGTGTGAGAAGTTGTGTGTGTGTGTGTGTGTGTGTGTTACAGAGGAGTGTGTTTACAGAGAGTGTGTGTGTGGAGTGGTGTGTGGTGTGTGTGTGTGTTAGAGTGTGTTACTGTGTGGTGTAGTTGTTGGGTGTGTGTGTTTGGAGAGTGGTGCTGTGTTACAGAGAGTGTGTGTGTGTGTGTGTGGTGAGAGTGTGTGTTTGTGTGTGTGTGGAGAAGTGTGTGTGGTGAGTGTGTGTGACGAGTGTGTGTGAGAGTGTGTTACTGTGTGTGTGTGTGTGTGTGTCGTGTGTGAGAGTTGTGTGTGTTACAGAGAGTCGTGTTGTGTGGTGTGTGTGTGAGAGTGTGTGTGTGTGATAGTGTGTGTGAGAAGTGTGTTGTGTTGTGTGTGCGTGTATCTCTTCCCATGCGGGGCAGGTCGCACAGGTAGCAGGACTGCCTTCTGGAGGCCGCCGCGGAGGACATGGTGCCACAAACGAGCGCTCCCTAAATGTCGGTTGGTGTGTTCGCGCCACTGGAGGAAGAAAACCAACCGACGGTCGCAGAGAAACGCGGTTTATTTCCCGTCAGAAAGCAGCGGAGTGATACCGACTGCAGCTCATCGTCGGTGTGTCCGGTTCCTCGCGCGCCTCCCGTCTGAAGCTCGCGCTTACAATTCAGCTCGAGCGCTCGCTGTAGGGCCGTGACGTCAGCGCCGACGCTGCGCTCGCGCTCCGGGGCTCTTCGACGACCCCTCGGGCGCATGCTCAGCAGTCTCGCTATCTTTAAACGGACAAAGATCGCGTGAGTCCGAGGAGGAGGAGGCGTCACTCCGAGTCAGAAACACAGCGAGCTTCCGGTTGTAACAAAACCCGATTATAATCTGGGGAATCAAAGTTTTAAAATAATTCATCCTTATTTTGGACTTCCACATTCGCCAAACGGGGAATATTTAAACAAATAACTAAACAACAACACATTAATAAATAACTAAACAACAAAGAAACAAAACAAACTGTGCAAAGCTAAAACATGAATACGATCAAATAATAAAATGTAAGATATCGTAAATATAACACAATAAAATAAATGTTGATGTGAAACACCAGAGAGACAAATAAAGTAAAAATCAAAGATTAAAAGCTGAAAACTAAAGTTATAACAAAGTCAAAGATTAAAAAGAGTTTTAATTTCCTTTTAAAAATACAAAGAGCTCGTTAATTTAATTAATTAGATTATTTAAACATTAAAAATTTACTCCAGTTGTTTAGTAGAAAAAAAAAAACTAACTTGAAAAGCACTTTACAGTTGAGCTGAGCTTTATTTCGTTGAATATTATGGGTCATAAGAGCAGATATTTTACAGTACATGATCATATTCAAACATGAAGTTCAGGTATTTTCTATCTTGTAATTAAAGTTATATACTTGTTCGCATAAAATACGATAAAAGAGGAAACAGTCCAGTGTAATAAATCTGTATAAACACATTTTAGTTGGTATATTTTGTGTAAATTTAATTACAGTTTGCATTGTTTTTTTAATTTACATTAATTTAAATCCACTGTAGGATCGCTGTGTCAGTGTATTGTACTTTATTATTGTTGTATAGATTTCCAGAAGAAGTAAACAAACTGTAGACTAGATTTTACACTGAAAAACTGTCAAACAATGACAGTAAAAGACCGTAAACTCTCATATCTCAATGCAAAACCTTTATTTATGCAGCATTTTAAAGGACTTTTTATGGAATAAAGTCTTTTTTTTAAATGTAAACTGCACATAAAACCACCATTATATTTAACTTTCTTAATACAACTGTTTGTTTTAATGCTAAAAACAGTAAAAACTCCAACTATAACTGTAAAATCAAACTTCCGGAAACCACAGCTCCCAGTTTTTTACCTTCTTTAACAACTCTTTTATTCTTTGTCACATTCTGCAGATGTAAAATAAACCTGTTGTTACCACCAACCCGACCAGCTCTAGAACGCAGGCAGAGGTCACACAGTTTATTGGTATCTGCTATGTGGTTGCTGGAATTTGAGGCAGAGTGAGCGCTCTTCTTTCTCTCTCCTCCTCTCTGCCCCTGCACAGACTCATTTATCAGCTCAACAAGTGTTTGATTTTGGATGTTTTCTCCTCACATTTTATTCGTTTTTTACGTTTGTGCATCGTCTCCATCACGAGCTCGTAACGAAATAACGTCTAATGCAGAAAGTGAAACGCAGAGTAAGATCAAACTCTGCAGGCTGAAAGCAACAAGTGTGTTCAGGCAGGTTTGTCCTGCACACTCAGTCAGTCTGCTCCAAAAACCTCCTGATGCATTACACCACCGACCGCCAGTGACATCACAGAGCCGGCAGCCAATCACAGAATTCAGATCCTGTTGCCAAGCAAACTGTGAACTCTCCTTCAGACCGAACATACATCAGGGCTCTCGGTTCCTAACAGCAGGCCCCGAATATATGTTTATTAACTGGATTCATTTACACAGTAACACTAGAATTACTACGGAGTCCCAGAAGTGCCAAAAAACATTTCATTCAGTTAAACTTTCATTCTCGTGCGACTCACAATTATTTATTGTCTCAATCTATAATTGATTATTGAATATATAGCTTGTTATTAACGATGTTTCTTTTACGAATCTCTTTCTCTTCAAGTCATTTTTATCTTTGTTTACTCAAAACAAGTTTTATCAATTTAATTTTTCATTTTAAGCCCCGCCCCCCTGCGTTCCTAAAAAAGACATTTTGAAGATGGTTAAAAATAAAAGTGACATATTTATTATAGTCTCGTCTTAAGTTAGCTCATTAGCAGTTATCTTAATTTATAAATTCTCTTTTATCTTTGAACCCTTTTCAAAATGTTTTTGTCTTTTCAACATAGATTAGCTTAGCACGTAGCATGTCTACGTACAGGAAAGCGGGAAGTTGATCGAGGATTGCTCAACTGTGATTGGAGCACAGAGCAAAAGGGGGGCGGGGCTTAGGGAGGATACCGACACTCGTCTTGAAACAAGAAGATTTCTTTTGGAAACAGATTCAAATAATTTTTGCTTATTTTTTTCAGAAAATGAGATGTTTAGGACTCGATTATAGAAAGAAATGATTTTATAAACAGATTATTTAACTTTACTGCGAACGTTTACCAGTAAACATCCTATCACAGTATATTGTCCTACCGAGGTCATTTACAGAGTTTCTGATGGACAGATTGATGCCAGGACCCAAACCCGGTAGGAAAACCACGTTGGTACTGGATTCCCTGCCGGTCTCAGAGCTTGTGTTCGGTCCCGGGTCCGGCTGTGTCCTCTGTAATATGAGGAAGCAAACAGCGCTCAGGTTTCCTGGAGCAGAATTACACTTTAACCTCAGTTTATTGTCCACGCAGTCGATTCCAGACGAGGACAATCTGGTTTTTTTGTCTGACTGCAACCAGCCGGCAGGAGACCCGCGGTGCTGTAAAGGTGGAATGAGGACGCAGAGATTCCGTGTTGGTGTCAGCAGTGAGTCAGCAGCCCGGAACGCCGCGCTCGGCTCGCCGCCGCCGTCGACCACTGAGCGGTTGTCCTGTAACAGCGTGACCCCGACCGCTGCAGGCCGGACGCTGTTCACGTATAAACACAGCGGGAGTTCAAATGTCTCCTCCTCAAACTCTGACGCTCTAATTCAGACGAGTATTTTACAGTTTACGAAGGTTTGCAGTGTGAACGACCACGAACAGCGCTCTGGATGTAGTGGACACTGCTGGTACTGCAGGTACTGGGAACAATTTACTAAATACTAAATATAATGACCTTATATCTTAAAATATGGACTTAATATCTCAAATTAATGACCTAATATCTCAAATTAATGACCTAATATCTCAAATTAATGACCTAATATCTTAAAATATTGACTTATTTTTCTCAAAAAATGAGAAACGTCCTCTCGATTCCTTGTATGTCTGGTGCAAGCTGACTTTGACTTTGACTTGAAAATAATGACTTAATATCTTGAATTATTTACTTATTTTTGTCAATATAATGACTTAATATCTTAAATTAATGAGAAACATTCTTGCTGTGTCGGAAGCAGCAGAAATGTTTTCCTCATTAGTTGCTGGTTTCTCCATGTTTGTATTTTTTATCTTTTTAATTAATTTATATAAATATATATTTTATAAGAGCCTCTCAGTGTGACGCTACCCGAGCGTCCTAATCAGGATTTTATCCAGGCTGCATCTTTCTCTGAAGCCTTTCTCTTAATGACGCTTTACAACCTGCAGATTTAACCCCCGCCCCCCCGCTATAAATCCCCTCAGTCAGCTGACGGATCATCCTGCCTGCCTCCCACAGTGAGGAGGGGAGGGGGAGGGGGATCCTTCATGTGATTTCACTTCCCAAATGGAAACACAAACATGAACCGACAGCGAGGACGACATTTCCCACATCATTCACTCAGCAGAGCTCACTGATCCACAGGTGGAAGGACCTGAAACACTCTCAGGATTTATTCCTACAGTTCAAAATATTTCCCTAAAAATACCTCAGACCACTGAATTATAACCATAAGTGACAATAATTCATTTCTTCTAATGTAAATCAAATTAAATAAACCTCCTGTTATTTAGGCTGCACACAAACCAGAATAATTACATTATTAATCATGACAGAATATAAAAAAGAGAAAAGGAAGTGACACTTTATGAACATAATGACTTATATTTATTATATTGATTATATTACATAAAACATCCTGATTAAAAACTGGTTCCAGTGAGAATAAAATGTTCAGTAGTTTGGTTGAATTTA